ACCCCATATCCCACATTAATGCAATCACTCAAAAAATTTTCACCAGAAAGCATTCGCGCTATCGCTCGAAACCCAAATATAGACTTACAATCAATAGGAATATACTCAAAATCAGATATTCAACATCACATTAGAACACAGCAATTCCAGGAATTATTAACACAAATGGACACAATACAAAGACAATCAATTGACCAAAACTTACGCAAACTTGCCGAAACCGCAGGATTTGCAGACATCTTTACGCAAGACTATAGCGGATATTTTAAAGACATTAAAGATTATATATATCTAAACGGTGAAAAATACCGTCCCCAAGATATATCACCTATCAATATTTTTAGCTTTGTTACACTCAAGAATGAAATTCTTGATTTTCTAGGATGGCCCTACTACATCTTAGAAAAACTAACTATTTTATACGCAATGTTTAACTTTATTGGATTTCTTTTTTCACTCTTAAAAGGAATCTATAACACATGTGCTATACACACACAAGTCAATCGACAAGCAAGTGTAGCACGCATACTATTTGCAGGATTTTTTGGAATATTTTCTACATCTATAAACAAAATTCTTTTAGACGCACAAATAAAAGAATATAACACAAAAATAGCAACAAGACAGAACACATACGACGAAGAACATAACAATGCAGACACAACACCAACAGCACCACAGTTACCACCCCTACCACATAACCATCCATTATCCCTAGTCCCACGTAATTTTCGAAATTTAGCCATAACACATAATAATTTTAGACCAACCATATCACAAAGTCCCATCCAACATATAATGCCACACCACTCACAAGATGAAAATACTTATGAACAAATTATAGAACAACCCCATACCACCGCTTTTCAGTCTCAAAATAATAATTTTTTTAGCCCACGATGAGCCGACAACTTGGATCCCTACACCGATCAAATTCCCACCCAACCAACCTCACCACTCCAATCCCAATAATACCACTTTTTGCTTTTCCGCCACCCGATTTCCCATCCAGTAATGTAACATCCGGCATGAATTCCGATACTAATTCACACATCTCAGTTTTATACTCCATCTCACAACTCAATAACCCGAATATTGAAACCCCCGATGAATTTGCCGACTCTGAACCATCTCCATCAAATAATTTTCACACCAATCCCTTAAATTTTTCCCAACCCCCTTTTCAACCCATACTACCAAATAACCCTGACCCAACCAATTCTACACACTCTTATACTTCCCAAGTTACTCCAACCTACTCCTCACTTCACTCAAACCAATCATCTCATTCTTCAGACACCCCCCGAATCTCCCCAGAACTAGATAATTTCATTACCCTACAACAACAATCCTATGACCTTGACACCCCAACCATAAACCAAATCTCATCCACAATAGATTCATCCAACCCTCCTACCCCTACACCCTCCTCAATTTATACTGATTCATTAGCACCATCATCCACAACTACTGTATCTTCACTTAACACTAATAGAGCTTACCGCACTTTTAAAAGAAAGTTCCCCAACCATCCTTTCCCAGCGAAACCAGGAACAGCCCGTGAATATATCAACCATCCACAACACACTAACACAAAAGAATTTTTAGCTATCACCTTACCCTCATTTCCACAATACACCTTAAACACCCCTCATGACACTAACGAGACACGTAACTTTGTAGACGAATACGTTTTAATGCCTACCCTTCCTTGGACCTCATATTATCATTTTACAAATCCCCTCTGCTTACCTTTATCTAACACTCATATCGATATAGAACGAAATATGGACATGCTATATCGACTCACTACACCACTAACACCTAGACAATTTACTTACATTGGATACAAAAAATCACTAAAAACACACACTGCACCCCGAGCTAATGAATATACACTAGAATATTACGACCATAACATCATCAGAACTAACCAAGATCAATTCTTAGACGACGATCGCTTCGCTAACCCACAAATCACCGAGAAATTTTTCATTAAAACACCATATGTATTTACACTAAATATCTTCGATCGCAAGTTTGACCACATTATCTCAGAAGCACTAACAGACACGCAAGCCTACGAAAGTTTTAAAGAACGCTTCCAAATATTTTCACTAACCTTTCATTTCCTTGCACCACATGAAAGAGATTTGCACTGCTCACACGATATTATGTTGCGCACTAAACAAACACACACATATACTTATTATCGTTTCATCCAAAATCACTTTGACCTACACACTCCCTCCAGACAACCACACCATCGTTTTCAATTCATCAATTCCAAATACACTTCACCATTCTTTCTTAACTTCACATATTGCATTAAAGATACTAACCTTCATGGTATTCTTCGAAATTATGATCCCATAACCCAAATGTATATCTTTTGTCCCATCACCAAGACCTTCAACGCAGAAGAATCCCGACCCTTCCTCATCCCACACGAGTTTGTACAACCTATAGAAATCCCCATTTTAGAATTCATCCATAACACTAAATTCAACCACAAATTATATAATCTAATCCAAAACACACCTTATGAATTTGCAGTTGGCACTGAAGAACTAACCACCATTAAGGCACTTCAATTGCTTTGGCCACTGCTTCAAACTAAAAATATCATCCGCATATTAGCCAAACTACTAACAACTTCAGATCTCATTCACGACATTTTCCCCCACGGTTTCTTCCCCGACGACTAACAGGTAAGTATGAATTATACATATTACTAATTAATTCAAACATTAGAAACTCACCATTCTTTATCCATGTTTTCTTTAGAATTTTAGCCTTCATCCAACGATCATCTGAAAAATTCACAGAAGAAAAATAAAAAATAGCAAACTTCTTCAAAACTGTTTAAGACCCTATTAAATTTTTGCACCAACAATTAAATAAATATAATACCAATGCAGTAAATTAATTTATAAATTTTTCCCCCACCAGCAGTAAATCTAATAATGATGAAAATTTGTAACTTAATTTCCCCCAACAACTAGCAGTAAAATTAAAATTCTATGTAGTAAATTCATAAGAAGCAAAAGCAGTACTAACCTTTTGATATTTTCATTCACTCGCATAAGAATTCTATCCACACTCGCACAGCTCGCCCACGAAGAATTGTTTAAAATAATGAATTTCAGTTTCAAGCTTTCACACTCGATAACTCTAACACAAGATAACACGTTTCAAACTTTCCTTTAACCCGGTTGGAAAGGAATTATATACTAAACAAAACTAACCAATGCAGCTTACTAAACACCACAACACATAGCATAACAGCATGACTAAGAAAAGGAAACCAACGGTACCCAAACCGGATTAACCCAGTTTAAAACTGGATAATTTATTCTTTTGAAGACTATTATAAAGTCTAAGAAAGAAATAATAAAACACAAAAAAGTCGAAAGACAAACCCATACCACAAACAATTTGATTTTTGAAAAAAGGACACAACCAACAAAACATAAGAAAAACCACAATAAACCCAACATAAAACGTTGTCACATAACAGGACCTCTCACAAAAACCGCATGCAATCATACTCCCACTCCTGGCCTAACCCACCAGGAAGGACGTCCTGAGCATGCTCTATAGCCGGCCTAACCCACCGTGCTACATCCACGCTTTGTGACCACACTCCTATTTTTAATAAGAGCTACTCAAGGGTGAGTAACTCTTCAAAATAACTGAACTAAAACAAAAAGCTTTTGTGAAAACAACTAACTAAAATCATAATTAAAAAATATTAAACTAATAAAAGTTTTATAAAATGTAAATTACATTATGCAATACATAGATCAGAATACAACACCAAGGACGAACATCCAAAGACAAAACGACCCTACTACACTCGAGAAAGAATGGCCAACTACAATCAATATGCCGCCCACAATCACAACTCAAAGGATTTAGAGTACGACTTGACTTCGCAGAAAAGGACTTCATTGAACTAGACCAATGACCACCTCGATGTTCAAGTATACGTACAGATCCGAGTAACCAGGCATCCCCACCACGCACAACCTCCACGCCATTCCCAGACAAGGTCAAACACAAAGAAGTTCTCACCAATGAAACAGAAAAACCTGACATAGCCAACCATTCTGAAATCAGATTTGAGTTTGTTGCGAAAACCCAGTCGTTGTCTTGAGAAGACACAATGATTGAATCTGGGACTTCTCTAATAAGAAAACCCAGAAGAAATAAGATGTTCGCCAAATACCAACGTCCATCATCCATCTTTCGAATTGCAGAAAAACTATTCTAAAAAACTCTGTAAAACCCGGATGGGTGGAACCTGATCTAAACTACATTTTATGATTGGATAAATTAGATATTTTACCAATGTAAAGTATTTAATATTAACCAATCATGATCCATCTAACTAACAATCCACTTATTTGTAAGTGCTGAAATTACTTGTAATTTCAGCACCAGAGAGATTTGAATTTAACTTAGAAATTAGTTGAACTCTCCCGAGTACTTCAGCAGCCGCAATAAACCAGTATACCCTAGATCTATTGAGCCTAGCAGAGACTAGTTAAACAACCTGAGACTAGATAGTATAAGAGTAAGATTAGGATCGGTATTAGACTAAGAAGTTGCACGAATCTATCCGGCCGAAAATAAGATAGCGTGACGAGCAGACGGTGTACCCTATCCGAAATTACTCTATGAGTTATACACTTCGGTCATAACTCATCATGGTGTTTCCAATAGGGCGGACAGTTCGTAACAAGCGACTCGACTATTCGTGACAAGCGACAATTCTCAACAGGGCATTGGCAAGTAGAATACGCTTGCTCTACTGCGCTTACACCCGGCACGAGAGGAATACTGCGCGTGAATCAGTGTTCCCCATTAAATCTACTGTTACTAATTGTCAATTGTAACGAATTGTGGCCTGTTACCAATGGTCGCCGTGCAGATGTTTCCATGAAGATTGTCTCAGTGATGCTGTTTGTAAGTCTGTCTATGTTGCTGTTTTTCAGGTGTGTTTGTGAGCGATGCGCTTCCGAGTAGTAGCAGCAGTAGTGGTGGTGGTAGTGGGGATGGATTGGCGCAACAGATGGAGTGTTATGAGTGTGTACAGGGAACTGTCAAAGTGGACCCCTACATTGCCAAACAGTTCAAACTAGCCACAGACCCCACCAGCCTCCACTCTACACAACAGTGGAGAAGTTCCCCCAGCACCACTTCAAGGACCCAGTTTGTAGTCGACGGGGAGAACCAGTGTCCTATTCAGTCCAGCGGGGACAGTAGTCCAGGGGGTCCACCCATGTATCCGTCCAGCCTGTGCGCAGCCAACAGATGTGTGGTAAGTGAAGTTATCATCTCACGTTCGTCTTCACAGCATTCAAATTCTGAGTGGCATGGGACTTTTTCATCCAGTGGCGTTTATTTTTCATGCGTCAAAAAACCCACATTGTAATTCGATTGTAGCTCTGAATCAAATTTATTCTTAATTTTATGATAAATTTCTGAATTCATTTCAGGTTGGGTACGAGAAACTCAATTCTCGTAGTAAAAAAAAACTATTAATGAGGGTAACCTTGAATTTGACCTGATTTAGATTTTGAGATTTAGGATCATTCAGCAACAGAAAGAACAAAATTGAACTGCTGAAAAATAAGCAAAATTAATAGAAACAAGACTGCCCGTATCAGGGCGAAGCCTTGAAAGTTCCGACTGCCTTTTAACGTTTAGAGCAGTAATAACATAAGAAACATTAAAAAAATTTAATAAAACAAAATGAAAAATTATTTTTTCTAAAATTTGAATTCTTTAAAAAGAAAATCATCCCCCCACACGCCATATAAAGTACAAAACAATAGATTTCGCTCCTTGTAACAAATCAATTATGGCAAATAAGCTTCTTTCAATCAATTTGGAACGATTTCTAAAACGGATTAAATCTCCGCTTACGCGTTAATAGCGCGAATTATATCGCGCGTTAATTGTCCCAAATTGTTCAAAATGGCCAAAGTGGTAATCTTTAAACCCTCATAACTTTACGAAAAATGATCACAGGGGAAATATCTTTTCATATTTAAGCTCAGTACAACAATACTTTTCGAATAATAAACAAAATTTCTTAAAAATGGCTAGTTAAAAAGTCAAAATTTGTCTGAAGAAAAAAAACCCACCCCGAGCACAAATATTCCGTTACTTTCGTATCGAAAGTCGGAACAACAAGGATAGCCGGTTGCTGTGCAAGTAGCACAGAATGGTCAGAATGGTTTTTTTCATTTTTTCAACTTCTTGGCTCTCGTCATTTTTGGCAACTAGCTTTCTATGCTATCTTTGCAATGTTTATCAAATAGTGTTCCGCTCCGCGCATTGTTTTTAGAAAATTTTGGTTCCTCTCCACACGATACACTCTAGAAAATTGCCATTTGGAAAACTGCGAAACTTGAATTGGAAAAAAAACTTAAAAACTCTGGTTCACTAGTCAGAACTTTCTCTTCTACTTGCACAGCAATAGGCAATTTTTGACGTCGCGTTTTGAACCACGAATCATCATTTTCATTCTCTTCTCGAAGCGCAAATGCGAATGATCTTCGGAGGATAATATTTACCCTTGCGATAAGCAAGGGTGTTGCAATCGGGTACTAGACTTTTTTCCCCGTAAATAATTTTGTTCACAGACTGGTCATTTTTGAAGGAATGGTAAAATTTAAGACAAGCTCGATTTCTTGAAAATTCAAAAACTACCTTTTTTTAGGTAGTAAATAGGTGTAATCAGTTCCGGGGTTGTTTTTTATTTCAAATATGTTTCTCCAAAAAATGTTGAATTTTTTTTCGGCCTAGGTTCTGTCGGTTCAATTTCCGTTTATTTTTTCATTGAATTTATAATATCTGGTACTGTTTCTTATCGGGTTATTTTATGAACCATGGAATTTATGGCTTATACATTTTCTATTGCGTAGTTTCAAGGGCAGAAAATTCCTATTTGACAAAATCAGGTATTATGAAATTGTATTTTATATTTTTATTATCTTTTTTTGAGATGCTTTGTCAAATTTCTTTTTTCAATGATGTCCTAATTTTTTTCGACAAGTTCTTCACTTATTTTCTAAAATTTGGCACAAATGAAAGACCCGAAAATTTTTGTGTATTCACATAGTCTCGTCTCTTTTAACTTACTCCACCTTCAACGGACTTTAAACGTGGGGAATGTTTGACTCATGTTCTTCAATTTTTTTTCAGGGAGTACCGTGCCAAATGTGAGATTAAGAATTCAATGGCAAGCACATGTAGTGAGGATCTCTTTTCTATACCCCCTACGTCCTGATTTTAATAGAAAACACATGGCCTCTAAAACGGCCATTTTTGTAAAGTTTGGTAATTTTTTTTTGAATTTTTCTCATTTTTTTTTCAAAAATTACCCTCCCATATCTTAATTTAACGGTTCAATCGGAAAAGCAGGTTGTTGAAATTTTTCCGGTGTCAGCGGCTATGCTCCATTTTTTCTGTAAAAACTTTGGTTTATTTCTCGGAACATTTGAATTTATTTGAGTTTTTCTTCGTTTTTTGGAAACTTTGTTATTTTTATCGAAAAGTACCCTGCCAAATCTGATATCAAAAGTTTGATCGAAGTAAAGTGTTATGAGAATCCTCCCTCTGCCGCGATTTTGTCTTATTTTTTTAGGAAAAAAACTAATAGCCTAGGGAAGAGTTCAATTTTTCGGAAATTTGAACTTTTCGGAAAATTGAGCTTTTCGGAAATTTTCGACTTCTCAAAAAATTTTCTTTCTAATTTCAACAATAATGGCCCAATTTGAATAAAAGATTTTAGAGTTCTTTGCTGAATAAACTGATACGCCCTTTTGCATGTAGAAAACAGCTATAGCTTTAGGAAAATTCAAGTTTGTTTATTTTTAGGACTGTTCAGTCGTAGAAACAGGTGGCGAGAGTTTTCGTGCAGAATTTTCTGATCATTTCTCCGACTTAAAGGCTTTCTGTTTTCGTATCGCAAGTGGTGCGAAGCTTAGCTTCGCCGCTGTGCTTAGGAAACTGTAACTATAAAAAATTTATTTCAAATAGTTAAATAACTGAGTCATTTTTTAAGATTATGTCATATTAGATTATGCGGTTAGATTATGCGATAAGCAACGGTGTTGTTAGCGGTTCCTTGACTTTTTTGCGTAAACACTTTGCTCACAAGATTTCACGCGACAAAATGTTACGTTTTTTAACTCGCTTTATAATAAATTAAAGTTTAATCAACCAGCCAGCGCATCTGGTGTAGCGGTAACAGGCCTGACTAAGATGACGAAGGCTTGCGGTTTGAATCCGATCGGGACCTGATTTTTTCACACTATCGGCTCTCTGTTTATTTTTATCGACTAGTTCCCGTATAACGACTCTTTTTGAATGTTCAGCTTTCTTCTGATTTTCTGAATTCCATTCCTAAATACTCATTGTTGGAGGCTACTCAATTTTTTTTTTGATTTTTACTGTTTTTGTGTAATTTTTTTTTTCATAATTTTTTCAAAACTCTGACTATCAAAATTTGTACTTTTACGCATGCGATCTTTGTGCTACCTCTTAGCAAACGTTATCATTTCGGAACATATGTTTTGAAAACAACTTGTGAAACAGATTCACTGAATCATTTCCTGAATGCTGCACTTTTGTCAAACGACAGACATGATTTGATCATGTTCGCATATCAGATACCCATTCTTTTTTTGGTGATTTTATTTTTATCAAATTTGATTTTTTTCGCTTTCTTTGTTTTTTTTTTGTTTACTGGGCTTAATAATTTTTCATTATGCCTTCTGAGGGTGTAATTAATGTCTTTTTTTAATTTTAGTTTTTTGTATGGAAAGTTTTTTTTGGCTCAATGGGTGTTTGCTCAAAATTGGTCGGCTTAGTTAACCCGTGGTAAGTTTTGTTGCGATGCAACTTTAACTATCAATTTTTTTTATTCAAGAAAATTTGAGATAAATTTCAAAAAGTTTTGGTTGATTTAGATTGTTTGTGTTGTATCACAAGTGGTGCGAAAATCTGCTTCGCCTCTTTATTTTAAGTTTGGCTCAAGCTAAATTGCTTTTTTAGTTTTTTTTATTCCTTGTCGGATTGAGTATGCAAAATATAACTTCAGCTGTGTCTTTATTATTCTTTCAAGTAATAAGTATTATCATTACTCTCGCGATAATCAGGGGTGTTACAATCGGCTACTAGATTTTTTTCGTAAATAACTTTGCTTCCAGGACTCATCTGGACTTAGTGGTACCTTGTTTCATAATGTATTCGAATTTTATAGCGTTCCCGGTCAAATTGTCCTGGATGTAACGATAACGCCTGGAACGGCGAAAGTCTTGGGTTCAAATCTGATCAGGACCTGTTTTCCTCAAACGGGAAATATTCTGTTTAAACAAAATTGTCGGCCAATTATTTGTCTGATTAGCTGTGTTGTCGGCTTAGTTGTCTCATATTGGAATAGTTTTTTTTGCTGCGCGCGTTTTTCTTTAATGCAGCTTTTAGTGTTTGATTTACTCGTACAGTTTGTAATGTTTTCAACCTTGACTTCGTATTTCTTTCTGTTTTTTTTTGTATCTCTGAAAAACTTTCCCTAAATTATTTCGCTCTATTTTTTATTGGCTTAGTGACCTAATTTTGGGTCTTTTCAAGGGAAACACAGTTTTAACACTACATTACGTACTTTCCAAGTTGGTGATATGGTAACCACTCAAGTTTCTTTTTTGTTTCGTTTTGAACTTTTTTTTGACTTTTTGCAAAAAGTATTAGGTTTTTTTTTTTCAGAAACTTCCAAAAGGGATGTCAATTGAAAGACCACCTAAACCCCTGTGTGCTTGCATGCTCCGATACTGTCTCTATTACTTAAACTTTCTGTCTACAGCTTTCGAAAAAGTCTGAGGGGGATGTTTGATCCATATTTTTGATTTTTTCGTTTTCTCAAAATTTACCCCTCTCAAATCTGATTTTTTTTGTTTCAATTAAAAAAGGGTTGGAAAAGTTCACCTGTATAAGGGGCTAAACCCAAGTTTTTTTCTACTTTTACACATATATTGTAAACCTAGGAATAATCATATTTTCAATTTTGAACGTTTTTTGAATCTTTTTGACTTTTATCGAAAGTTAACCTATCAAATCTGATTTTCAAAAGTTAGTGGGAAGCTCGCCTGCATTAGCTCTTCTCAATGATTTTTCATCTTCTCACTTTTTTTAAAAAAGAAACAACTAAGGTTTTGTGCAAAGTCAATTTTTTGAAATCACACTTTTCGTGCGCATCAGTATAGCAAATTGATTCAATATTAACTACGTACCTCCAGCTTTAGCTGGGCCTCT